AAATATACAAAATTTCAAATACTCAAATAATATTGATGTGGATGATTTGCACTTTGTACAAACAATATTATTCTATATTCTTTAAGTTTCACTTAAGAAAATGCCCCCATACAATTCCAAAAAAATGTCGATTATATGATATAGTAATACTCTTAGAGATTAGGCGCATGTTTCGTATGTATAACTAGACGAGATTGAACAATATAATAAATAAATGTTTTAATTTTGTCATTTTTTAATGCTATATATTATGTCCAACATACTTCACCAAATATACTGATGTCTAGCAAGCAATTGTGCTCAATAAGATGCATAGAAATGTTACAAAACACAGAAATTTTGATAAAGTAGAATATTTTTAGAATAATAGAGGAAAGAGAAGAATAAAAGAAGATATATCCAACATTTGTTAAGTAAATTAATATTTTATTGGAAAAGAAAAAGGAAAATGAAAACTGACGTACCGAATTTTAGAAATTCTCTTGCTGATTTTACTTTATGGAGATCGTAAAATACTGTTAGGCATATAATTTTATTCCCCATAATATAGAATAAATCCAACATTTATTCTATAAAGTAATTTTAACCTGGCCAAACATGATAAATACCTTAGTTACAGTATCAGCACTGATTCCACACCAACAGCACATGGAATAAGTTGACTCTTATAATGAAGTGATGTTACTACTCATGCTAGAAATGAATAGGGAATTAGTTGACGAGGTCTTTACAGACCCTCATGTGGGCTTCCCATGTGATGTTTTTTTGTTTTTTCAAAAATGAACCACCCACCCCACCTCTTATGTGTGACCTGTATCGACCCTATGAACCACCACCGTGTGCACGTAACGTTGCTTTGCTCTAAATTTCAAAGTTGAGATAATTCATAATCAAACAACAATGTAAAAATAAATTTTATTCTTAATATATTTGATATAATTTAATTATTTGTTATATTTAATGAAACAATTCTAGAACGTTCACAATCATATATAAGACTCCATGTTAATTCACTTTAATCTATTCCTTCAACTTTAAATTTGTTCTATTAGAGTTATAAAGTATGCTAAGATGATTTTATACAAACTAAGCTCACAACACAAGAGTCATTAGTGTACCGGCGTAAAAATTCTAGGCATTATGCAAGTTGAGCTAGGCTTGACATAAAGACTCAACACATGCCATGAAAACATGAATTGTTTCGACGAGTTTGAAAGAGAAAAGGAGTTGTCATAGATCATAGATCAACAAAAATATTTCGTTACAAGATGGCATGAATTTATGATACATGACAAAAAACCCTTGTATCAATTTTTATTTATTATTATTATTTTTTTAAAGATTAATGAGAAACTTTTATCTAGTTAACTCATCGCGATTTGCAAACAAAATAAAGTATGGAATGCAATATAACAAACTAATTGACTCATTAACTAAAGTAGCAAAAGATGTGAGTCCATAGACAATCTTATTACTATTTTTGAATATGAAGAGACTCGTATGAGGACTCAAATCTCATATATTATATTATTAGACAAAATTTATGATTATATCTCAAATAATTTGAAATATGATGCTCATGCATATGGAAAATGAGTATTAGTTCTTTACAAGCTTTAGAGCATTTGGAAGACAATATCATGATACAAAACTTAGTGCTTGCGTGCTAAGACTCCAATGTCGAGTTTGATAGATTCCCACCACACAATAAGGTGTGTGAGAATGAATTGCCACCAAAAACCCTAGAACATTCTTAATAAATCTAAACTTAAAGTCAAATTTTCTCGTCTTTCTATTCGTTTCATTGCTCTGTGCAAAAGCACGATAACAAATCTCCGTGTAAAAAAAATATGTGGTTCAACCTTTTTAAAATTACAATACCAAGAAATAATTGTAGAGCATTATGTAACAAAAATATGGTCTATTTAATACTTATTTTTATTCTATACTTTTTTACGACAGTGATTACATCTCACTTATAGAAAATTCTATTCAAAAACTTCGTCCAAAATTTGTATAGACAAAGATTTTTCACTAACAGTAGTTGCAGTTCTATTGATTTGGATAAGTTCTCAAATAGAAAGAGCTTCTAAAAAAAGCTTTAATTATTTTCTATCTAAAATTGTTATTACTAAGTAATTCATTGTATTATTATATTCTCAGTAATATGTTTGTTAAAGATGACCAATGAAATTCAACAAACAAATGTTCCCATTTTTAACAATTTCTACGAATATTGTAGATCTCTAATTTATTATTATTCCAGAATCAAAATTTCATCTCAAAATGATCGAAACATGAAATGACTGGAAACTGAACCATGAAACCAACTCGTCTTTTCAGTACAGATGCTGGGTGTTAGTTCAACACGTTGTGAACATACGGCGGCTGTTTCTTGACATATTTTTTTGATATGTTAGATTTAATCGATTGTTACCACATAAATAGGGCCACAAGAAACATGGCCCACGTGATCTTATTTGAGAAGAATTACTAAGCCCCTGTTTGGCCCCCATTACCTGAAAATGGTAATAGGGGAAATAGTATTTTTTAGAAAAATGAGTGGTTGAAAAAGAAGGTAAAGTTTTCGATTTATGTGTAATATTATTTTATGTAAGATTGTATGATTGAAAATAGGAGAGAGAAAAATGGAATGTAATGTAATTTAATTTAATGGTAATCAAACAAGGGCTAAGCTCTCGTTTGATAGCAAATTTTCATCAAAAAAAATTAATTTTTTTATTGTTATTTCATTATTTTAGCTGTCATTTTTTACTTTTTTACTTACATGTGGAACTCACTTTTCTCTCTAACGATAATAAAATCAATTCTCAAATCACTATCGAACATGCTCTAAAGTCTGAGCACGATAACCCTTATATCTTTATACCAACAATATTTCCAAATCGAATTAATTTTTTTTTTTTTTTTTTTTTTTAAGTTTACTAGGGCTTGAGTAATGTTACTATGGCCCCGTTTGGTAGCCATTTTTTCAAAATACATTTTTCTTTCTCTTTTTTTCAATTACACATTTTTTATTAAAATAATATTACACGTAAATAAAAAAATTCTTATTTTTTAACCAAAAATTTCACATCAATTTACTATTCTAAAATGTATTTTTATGTAAAAATGACTATCAAAAGCTAAAAATTTATGTAAGAATGAGATAAATAAAGTAAATAGTTAATCTTTTCATCAAACTTAAAAATAAATAAGTTACGTATTCGAAACAAAGTCCTATAAAATAGGAAATCTGACAAAATTTAACTCCAAAAACTATAAAAATGAAATTAACAGACACCTTCACGATTGAGAGCCTTAGGCCAGTACTCTCTAAAAATTTAACTAATTAAATTATTTAAGCACGTAATTAATACATTATAAAATCCTCAAAACCTCCAAAACCCTGAACATGGCTACTAACAGGAATGGAGTTCAAGTGGGAATGGAGAGAGGGTTCATAGGAGCAAGTTACGACGGAATAATGAACAACGTTTCATTGGGTGCACGTGATTTGGTCTCTTTGGGAACCAAAGGTTTACCAATTTCACTGCTTATTGCATATAATAATAGTAACAGGACGGCAGTAGCAATTGAAACTGAAAAGGAGGTAACAATAGTGTTGCTTTTGTTGTCAATATTTCTTGGGGCTTTTACAGTAATTGCAATGGAAGCAATGGGACTGTGGATTTTGATTCGTCTAATAACTCAGAGATCTGCGGGAGAACTAGGGAAAGAAAAGGATTCAGCTTCGGTGGGCGACTTACACAACATTTAGGTATTTAATTGTTAAACCATGCTTCTTTGTCAGAACTTTTACAGGCTTACTCACAAGTAAGACGTCGGTATTTTATGGGGTAATTTTTTAATGAGATGATCTCGTATCACATGAAAACCTGTAAAAGGCCTGACAAGAGGAGCTGCCAGAGCAACATTATTGTTAATTGCTACTGAAGGTTAAAATAAATAATAAGATTTTTTTTAGAGGTATTTAATGGCATTATTGTTGGCATAACAAAAAAGTGACATAATGAATACATTAAGCTCTTATATGTTACAATGTTTTTGTCACAAGTAATGTTATTTACAATCGTTCGTTATCATAGTCATCCTATATGACATACATATAACGATTGGTGATTTAGTATATTAATATGGTAATTTTTTATTACCTTATACAACAAATCACCAACTCTCGCTTGTATGTCACACAGAGCGAGATTGTAAATAACATTATTCTTTTGTCACTTATTCAATATTATAGCCCTTGTTTGAGCCCCATTTTAGAGAAATTATATAGTTTGGAATAGTAGATTGATAGAGAATGTGTGGTTAAAAATTAAGAATTTTTTTTGAATTTGAGTGTAATATTATTTTATTGAAAAATGTTTGGTTGAAAATAAGTTTTGAAAATTGAATTTTTAGATTTTTTTTTTTTTAATATCGTGGGTATTCATTTCAATAGTCTTGAGGAAACTCGAACTGGTGACATTTGAAAAGTAAATTCAAGATTTGACCACTGATCTACTCCTCATGATTGAGTTTTTAGAAAAAATGAGACTCAGATAAGTAATAATGTTTACATTTCAGAGCAGATATATTGTAATAATGTTAAGTGTTCATATGTCATCCTTTTTAACGAAAAGTGACATAATTTTTAGTGTTTTTTCTATCCCTTATTTAAAATTTATATGAATTTTTTAAGTGACAGATATCACTTTTTGATAAAGTGACATTGTATTATTAAAAAAAATTATATACAATGTCACTTTTAAATAAAAAATGACAAAAAAGTGACCATTAATTTTATACAATATTTTTTACTTCTAAAATACTTTTCATATGATTTTTTAATTTTTTTTAAATTTTAAGGATATTTTTATAAGTTGGTCTTATGAATTTGAGCACTCAAGCCCAACAAGATAGTGTCTTTAGGCGGGCCGTGATGGCCCAATTCTCCAGAATTCGACTAAAAGCGCATATTTATATTTTCAAAGACGCTATGCGATTTCAATCAAAGAGGTGTCAGTTATCGCCTTATCCGGGGGAGGGAGAGCAAAAATGGCAGCAGGGATTGCAATGGGAATTGCAGTAGTAAGACCACAAGTATTGCCTGCAGTAAGAATAGGAGTAAATCTGAATCGGAAAAATGCTAAATGGGCATTCTTCAGTCAGTCGGCATCCTCTTCCTACTCTTCATCTTCATCGGCAGTGCCAAGAACACTCATAATGTATTCCAAGCCCGGATGCTGTTTGTGCGATGGCCTCAAAGAAAAGCTTGATGCTGCCTTCGCTCTTTCTGGTCAAAATTCCCTCCACGACGTCCAATTACAGGTTTTACATCAACTATAATCCATTTTTTGAATTTTATAGCTTTCTGATTGAAAAGCCACTATCTTTAGATTGTAATGACGCTAATTTTGTCTCACATTTTGCTGAGTTAAAGTTTGCAGCACTGATCCTAAGTATGTTGTAGGACGGTGGTCTGAGCATTTGGCTACAAATACAGCCTCCTCTCCCTTCCGGGATAGTTAGGATAGAGTTCTATAATTCTATTTATCTATTTATGTGCTTTTAAGTTAAAACCACTGAGGCACCGTCCCCTTGTATATTGTTTTTGTGGGTGAGTTTAACTCCATGTGGTTGTAACAATTGGTATAGGGTAGGGAGTTTTTCACCCTTGAAATATAGGGGCTACTTTTGGTAGGAGAGTGGTTATGTGAATTGTAATGACACGTGGAGTTTCCTACTATAAGCTGATTTTAAGTGTTAAACTAATTATTCGCATGAGGGCTTGTATGCACAGGAGCACGCATCTTTCGTTAGCCAGTTTTAAGCTTGAATTCTGCCGATGTGGTTATAATATTTTTCAACCATACGGGGTTTGAATTCTTTCATGTATCGGGACATTAAAACATTGTATCTGTTCTCTCCGACATAGTGAACTACTAGTGTAATACACCCAGTGCATGGAAGAATTGATTTGATAAAAAACCATTATCAACAGAATTACCTCCAGTGTTGGTTAATCGCCGAGTGAACAGCCTTTGACTTTGAGCAGTTTGGTCTCATATGCACCTGGTTCAGAATACAAATCTTGTGATGTGTTATGGCTAATTCAGTTGCATATAACAATTGATATGGGTTTTTGCAGATAAGAGATATTACAAGTAATCCTGATTGGGAGAGGCTTTACCAGTATGAGATACCGGTATTGGCAAGAATCCATGATGATGGCACTGAGGTTAGTTATTACTTTCTTAATTATCATTTCTTTTGTTCAGGTTTTTTTATTTTTGCTGTTAATTTAACAACTTTGAGTTGTTAATTATCTAGAAAAATACGAACATTTGTACAATAACACCCGTGGCATGTTTGTTGAAAATGATTGATGAGTGCTGGACAATATTAAAGAAGAGAAATCAGCTTTTGTAAATTATATTGTCCAATCACGTCTAGTAGATGCACTGCTTTAAAGTGGTGACTGCTGCATAGACTTGATCAACATGAATCAGAACGTTAGATTGGGCTAAAGTGAAGCAGCATTCCAACATAGACAATTGATTACCATGTGTTAAGCTATCCAATATTGGATCCACGATTTACAACTGGAGGGTGACTTAGGTTTGCATATCTTCGAGGGAGCTATGTTATGTTTTATTCAAATATTCAGTCAAACTTATCTAATGTTTTGAATTTGGTATCTAGTGGAATTTAGCTCCCTTTCTCTTCCTATTGAACAAGGGAAGAGGATGATTACAGTCCTTGAGAGGTGAATTTCCTAAAGATATTGTAAAAAATTACTATTTTAATGGGAAATTATAGAATTTCTGGAAACTCAGGAGCGCTGTGTCGTCTTGTACCGTCTCTATAAGTCCACTATTGATATGAACCTTGCTGGTAAAATACTTGACAATGAGTAATGTAGCAATAGATGGAGAACTACTTAGGATCGACTATATGAAAACTCAAGAAATTAGAAAGTGTTGTTACCTTAGAAAGCAAGTGCTTCTGAGAAATTGAATTAAACCATTCATGATTCATGTCTCAGCAATTAGATGCTGGAAACACTGCTAGATATAATCAGTGTACAAAAAAGGCTAAGTCAGGAATTGAGGCGTTATGCTTCCCATGGTGATGCAGCCTTGAGTTGCTTTAAGACACAAGTACCAATGTAAACCCAAAATTTTAAAGCTATAAAATAGACAGTTATATTCGTCATAAACCATGAACCATTTAAAAAAATCTGTAAAAAGACATTTTAACAAAATTTGAAGTCTTATCTGCTACTGGAAAATTAACGTGAAACTAAACCAAAAAGTGAAAAATTGGGAGCTCTACTCGTTATAATGAAGCTCATGTCAATAAGCAGTCCAGTTGAGCCTTATATTCCATTTAGTCATGTATTGTTGTGGAATGAGGCTTACTAAATCAACTTTTAGATGTATAAATTGTGGACAAACAATGTTTTGAATAGTGATTTTTAGGAGAATGTGTAATTAAACGTTTGGCAATTCATGTGGGGATTGGGAATGGAATCATCACACAAATTGTTGTAGGTACAAACACATATCCCTCTCAAATTGCTACAATTTTTCTTCCTGTACAGTCCGATTCATATTGTGCTCTGTACAACATCTGGAATTTTATCATATTTCTCGTGGACTAAAGATATAACTTATAAGTCCATCAAGTATAATCAAATGCTCGACCTTGTTGGTATTATAAAGCATTAGCCTTTCATGCTTTATTTGTTGCGAGAGACACCTCTGAATTCCTTTTTATTACCGCGGTACCATGTAATCAAAGTATGATGATCCCCTCAATCGGATCTGGTGAACTGAACGTCTCTCAGCTGTATTAGACTCATCAACTAATGATAATCCTATATTTTATTTGTATATATATTATGGACGCTAAACATTCTCTGTTCTCCTCCCCTCTCCCCCATGCCGAATGAAAAAGTACCCAAAAATGATTGATGACTATAATAACCATTACAAACCTACTCGCCAAATTTAACATGCCTCCTATTTTCGTCACCCACACTATAAATGAGAGGAAGATAATTGCTAGTACTCAGTATCCTTCATCTATTTCTTCTGACCAATAGATTAGCAGAGGATATTGTTTTGTTTTGTTTTTTATTTTCATTTGCCATCGCCATTTTTAGAAAAATAGTTAAGATCGATTTCACTTTGGTCACCAACTTTAATTTGCGATCCACTCTTGTGCACCTGGACATGTAGAAATAATAAATCATTCCATGTCAGCATGCAATGTCAAATTTTCCATTTAGTGTATTTGATGGAGTTAGACAGGTTGCCTAAGCTTATATGAAAAAAGAATTCCTATCAAACTAATATGGCCCGAAAGAAAAGAAAAAAGGGTCGACTAAAGTGAAACAACGATGTAATAGACAAAATGAATAGGGCTAGCCTGAAAAATATGGGGCTTCCACATACATTTTAAAAACAATCACATTCAAATGCTAGTCCTGTTCGACTTACAGCTTTAGAGAAGGATTGGGCCTTCAGTTACTACAGGGGTCTTTGTTGATACTTATGTCAGTACGAGTTTTCAGCATCTGAATTTTGATTCGGCCGCATTGATAAATTACTGAAATATTTCTGTGTTTAACATCTTCACTTGGATTTCCTTTTGACCACGGCAGTCATCCAAGGTTGAAAGTCACACAAATCTTCTCATCTGTTGCAGGAGACACTTCCGAGATTATCTCCTCGCCTTGGAGTTGAGCTTATCCAGAAGAAGATTGCCGCGGCATTTTGGCAATAAACTGTCTTGAGCAATGGGTTAGTCTTGTTAAATTTTGTAGGAGAGTTGGATGGGGAATGGATAGTGAATGCTTTACTGCTTACAACTGTCCTTATAAACATAATCAGCATATTATATGTTATGGTTAAATGTGAATAAAAGAAAAAACTGCGTTTCTACTCAACTGTCCTCGAACAAATATGTGCATATCACAAACCGTGTTCCAAGTTTTGAGTACATGACCGATTTTTGCAAATCGCGTTCTAAGTTTCGAGTACATGATTGTTGTTTGAATACTGGTGTAATATTTGCAGAGGACTTTGCTTATCAATATCATTTTCTTATTCTTCTGGTTGAAAGGCTTGTGTTAGGTTGGTTTCATTGTATTAGACATGTTACTTCTTTTTTAAATGGCAATTATATACTAGTATTTATATTATAGAAAAATGTTCTATATTATCCACCCCACCCCCCACCCCCCAACCGCGTAGACATCTATTTGTATCTGGTTAAATTTCCTATGAGGTAACGTTCAATGCCTAAACTTTAATTCGTTTCAATTTGGTTGTTGAACTTCAATCTAATATCAAATTTCACTTTCACCATTCTATGACATTGTGTTTCGATTAAAAGACATCTTTTTTAAATAATATTTTAATAAATACTTTATGAGTAACCCACAAGTTACCCTTACATGTAATTCGTAAAAAAATGTTGATGTTTAACGAAAAATTGAAATATGGTCTTCAATATAATATCCGAATTTTCACCTATTTGTATCAATTCAGTGATCAGTTCGCTAGTTTTTTTGATTCCACTCGATCTTCCTTTTCTATTTTCTTGCAATAGTTCTACCTATACAGAAAAATTGTTGGCCTACAAATGTGGTTTCGATCCTTTCGGTGATGCCAGAAGTCCAAGAAAGTCATTGTCACCTTAGCAAACAAGTATTTTTTACAAATCAAATAGAATTGAACTATCCTTTATTCCAATTGAAGGTCATTTTTGAGATTAACTAGATTCTCATTAATAGCCTTATAGAAGGGAACCTAGGTCTGGTTTCAGGCTTTCAATAATGAATTGGTGTGTGGGTGGGTGTGTGTATTAAAAATGAGGTACATGTAAAATATCGATTTTTAATGAAAAGAGGGCAGTTTTGATGTTGTCAATAGTCAGGTCCTCTGTGTGTGATCCAAAACCAGAAATTTTGGCCCAAATAAGTAAAGAGATAACAAGTGAATCAAGAATGGCCGAGAAAGGGTTAGCCTTTGTTTGAGGTCCATTTTTTCATCAATATACATTTTTCAATAGTGATTTGACTTTACGCATTTTTTAATAAAATAATATTATATGTAAATTCAAAATTTTTCCTTATTTTCATCATAACACTATTTGAAAATGCATTTTTTGGAGAAAAAAAAAATGGGGGTCAAACAACCCCTTAATAGAAATTAACACAAACTACTAAGGCAAGACAAAACTTCAGAATCGAACTGATTGAATCAGACCTGAATCGAACCAAATCGAGCGATTCTTTTTAAGTTAAATATTGTAACGAGTATCTGAACCGAAAATCGACGGATTTGGTTTGATTCTCTATTCTAAATCAAGAATCGAAAAGTGAAAGTAAAGGAGTACCTTGTCATTCGTAAGGGATTTAGATCTAACTCGATTCTAAATAGAAAAACTTCAATCAAAGACGCTTGACACCCTGGTTCCTACCTGTCCTGTCCAAAACTATGAAACTAATCTGAAAAGTCGATTTGCTAGATCAGAGTGTGAACTCTGAAAATAGGGGTGGACTAGGTTGTGTAATGACAATACTACAAACGAATACTTTACCCCCCACCCCCCCTCCCTAATCTTAGATAGGTCGTTTGAGGATTCACTGCTCCCACTCCAATCATTGCTTTTCTTTATGTTACTTCGGAATGATTATGAATATCGATTAATTAGTATATAACCCTGCCGTAGAGTGTCACCTTGACGTGGTGGAAGTCATTAGTTCAAGCCTCATCCTCAATATTCGGTGGAAAATCTCCCAGGCTATTTGTCCCTTGAACTAAATTCTCAGAGAAAATTTTCGATAACTTCTTGATCGAATCTCCTTAATTTTTTTAATTAATTTATTTTAAATAAACTAAATTATTTTTTCTAAATATATTTGCTAACTAGCTAATTTAGCTCAAACTCAAAAATATGATTTTACTGTTTCTAATTTTCAGTCTAAGTCCAACTTAATCAAATTGACCTAAATTTTACCCAAATTTGTTATTATACCATAGTGTCGTTTCTACCGTTCTCGTGAAATTGAATTGAAACTCAACAACTCATCTGTTAATTATTGTGAGCTAACTATCTTCCTATTCCTATGATTTTAAAAATTAAATCTATAAAGAATTCAATAAAAATAGACGCAAAAGAAACAAGATTGAACAACGTTATTTTGTAAAAGTTAATATTAAACATGTTATTAGTTGAATTAATGTAGCTTTGTAAATATTAAAAAATTTAACTATAGTACGAAACTTGAGAACTGAATCGAACCCACCCAAACCAAAATCGAACGGTTCCATAATTAAATTTGGACTCGACGGTTCCACTTACTGAATATTCGAAAATTTCAAAACCGATTCGATTTTCGTTAGAATTGAACCAAACTAGATAATGTTCAGCCCTATAAACTAGATTAAACGTCGAAAACGAACAATCTATAGCACAATCTTAAATTTTCTCTATTTTCAGTTGAAGATTATAGACTTTCATTTTCTCTCGACTAGTTGTCCAAAAATAATTTGTGAACTTTTGTAATATAAATATTCGGCTTTACGTATATTTTACTAGAAATATTTTTGTAATAAATATACGAGACATAACCTGACTCGTACCTTCATGATTCCCAATTAGACAATGGATTGTTGCAAGCATATGCTTCAATGCATTAATAAAAGACTATTTAAGCCAGGTGGTACGATCTTTCCTCAATCATTTTGATAGATCTGAAATGTAACATGCACTGGTAGACATCATCAGATGCCAAACTCACCATTAAATAGACAAAACAATTTCGCTGAACATGTTCCAAAAATAATATGTACATGCTTGAGTTAGATGAGTCGTACAAATTGATTCCATTGTCTAGAAACTCAATTGTTACTACGAAGCATAGACACTGTAATGAGCTATAAATCAATACCTCATTTTAGCAATGGCATTTTTTACTACCAAAATTATATAAAAAGTACTCCGTCACCCAAAAAAAAAAAAATCAAGGAAAAGTTTCAACTCACCTATCATCTAGGACAACTATTCGATTGCTAATGAAAGAGCTGACTATTTATTATTAGGGTGCATAGATATCGAGTCGAGTCGAGTCAAGTTATGTTGAATTTAAATCTTGATTATTTTAAAAAATTTAGATGAATTTCCAAAGTATCTCAATTTTTCAACTGTAATGTTAGTTTGAACTATATATATTTTAATTGCATAAAATTTGAGTCAAGTTTGACTATGACGAACCACTTCCAAAACGAAGGAATGCTCATTCTTGGAGGTTACTCCAAAACATAGGAACAAGTCAAATTGAGAGTTTCTTGTAAGAAGTAAGAATTTTATTTTCTATGCAATTATTTATGTATTGCTTCAATAAACCATTATGCATATAGATGTTCAAGAGGGATCAAATTAGGTGTCTTACCGTTGTCATAATTGGTTCCTTAATTTCTCATAAATTAATAAAGGGATTGGTATTTTAAGGGCAGTTTAGTGAAAAAGAATAACCACACGCGGTTATCTAACTAGAAGAATGAGTATTTCTATGCTAAAGTTTGGAGGGTATCGATGATGAATTTCACGGTCATGAAATGAAATGAGGAACTAAGGAAATTTTCAAATATTGATATTAGCTCAACAAAAGCAATTGTAGTAGCTAGATCCAACACCAATTGACATTTGGCCTTCTAATATCTCTAGTTGAGAATTCTCCTCACGCTCATTTATTTATTTATTAATGATTTATGTTATAGATTTTTCGTTGATTCTTTCCCTCATTCCTTTTTATCTTGGACATCCTCTCGAATGGTCTTGCATTCATTTTGATCTTATGTTTCGGTACAGTATATGCTAGTTGTATATTACACGTGTGTGTGTATCGCAAAAGAATCTAATAATTACCATTATTGATGATCTCCTCTAATTCATAGTATTAGGAGTTCAAAGCAACTTGATCTTCATCCATAACATAAGGGTGGAAAATACTCCATGACTTGGATAAGATAGGGACAGCCAGCAAGGGGGAATTCCTACAATGATGATAATATAGAATCAATGCATTTGCATCAATGATTTCTATCCAATAATGAACTCAAAAAATCTAAAAGTATATTATTTATCACAATTATGTTCAAATAGACATTTGCTTTTGTTTTTTGTTTTTTTGTTTTTTTTTTTTTGGGTTAAAATACGAAATTTATCGAAGAAGTGAATACGAAATTAAAATATGATTACAATCTACCTAAATAATAGAAGTCGGGGATTGTAGTAGCGAGAAAATAAAGTTGAACAAATCAACACCTATCTCGTTAATTACAGCTACAATATTTCACATCAAAATCCCATATGCATAATGGCAATTACAAATTAAGGACCTAATATTTTAGTCAAATTTTATTTTATTTTATTTTTTTCTAATGGTAAGTGAAACTTTAAAAAATTTGAAATTTGAAATCCCATTTGCATTAGTTCACTCTTTTTCCCCACCATTTTTATTTTTTATTTTTTTTGCTTTGAAGGACCTCAATTAAAAAAGATACACATATAATGTACAGATTGAATTTTTGAGTTCTATCTCAAACTGTCGATATTGTTAACAAAAGTAGTTCAAGCTCTTACATCCGTTAATATATACCACAAGTTAGTGGCTCGTTTAGACTGTCAATTTTGAAATTCAACTATAATCAAATTGCTCATTTGAATTTTTTAATTACTTCTAGAAATAAAATAAAAATGACAAGAAGATAAGACAGAAGCTGTCTTACAAATTGACCTTATCAGAGATTTAAGAATGCAATAAAATTCCTCAAAATAAATAAATAATTCAAAGCAAGTTTTGGGATAATGTGAGTTCGGAAATATCCCTCTCAGGGTGACCAAAACAGAGACACTACCAATATTTTATTCAATATTTCCATCAATCTAAGTAAGCAACAAATAATTTAATTATAAAATACGGGACAGATATACACTATAATTAATGATATATTTATAATGATTAAATATTTTTAAAGAAAATGGCTAAGTCATGGCTGATGTGTAGTCCCAAGCTACAGAAGAATTTTGCTTGAGATAATGGCAAC